CCTTATACAATGCAAACCTGATCTTATATGAAAGTCATAATCCTTTAAAGGGCACTCTGATGATATTGATCACTTTTTAATTGATTGTGAACAATATTTTGAAGTATACTCCACATACTTATCAGCTGACATCTACTGGATTGCTTTCACCATCCTCTACTTTGAGGACAAGGCCAAAGTCTGGTGAATTTTAAAAAGCCATAATCTTTATTCCACCACCAAAGAGCACCATCAACTGCTGTTCTGGCTGATATTTAAACAGATAGTGTGTGACAAGTTTATTGACCTGGCAGTCCAAGAAGTTCATAAGAAGGAGATGAAGAACCTATAGATAGAGGAACAGATAGCCAGTGAATACTTCAATGAGTTTAAGTGGCTTGCCAAGCTGACTGGACTCATCAACAATATTGAAGACAATAAATGCCTAATGGAATATCTAAAGAATGGGGTTCCTCTCTCTCATAACAAGATAATCTCTGACATCAGTGTCAATATCCCAAAGAGATACAAGAAATGGAAGATGCAAATCATTATAATAAACAAGAAGTAGTATTAACAGAAGGCAGAGAATTCCTACTGATAGAACAACAGAAAACCCAATCAAGAAAAGACCAACATGCCAACCTCTGCTAAGTCTAACATGTCCTCTTCAACTTCCACACTATTTTATTCCATCCAGAAGACTGGCACTGGGATTACCTACACTGAATAAGAGAAGCTCATGGATGTTGACAGATTAAAGAAGAAAGAAAAGTGCTTCAATTGCAGAGAGAAGAGTCATCTGTCCTGAAGTTGCCTGAAAAAGAAGTGAATCTACAAGGAGATCTGCATGCAGATAGTCAAGCTGCAGAAAGAAGCTGACAGGCTGAAAGAACTTGGAAAGAACATAAAGGTTGAAGAGGTAAAAGACAGAGCTGATAAGTGAGTGATTCCACTCAATTGGCTAAAGGACTTAATAGTGTGGCTTAGAATACCACTAGTCAGACTTATGTTAGCCCTGCAGGTACTTATTTACATGCACATTCAAATATACCTGATCCTATCACTCCAAACACACTAAAGAAATTGCAAAAATCCAAGACTCAATTGCTTATAGGTCAAACAGAAAGAGAGACTCCCAATGGTTAGCTAAAGCCATTCAACACTGAATAGACTTAGCAGGCTATCCAAAATGCCAAGGATGAGACTGAAGCCAAGGCAGTATTCAAGAATTGGGTACACTGAATGCAAGCCAAAGAAGTGATTGATAAAATAATCAAAGAAATAAGAAAGGCAGGAAAAAATCAAGCTCTGGAATGGTTGGACAAGTTGAGGGGGCCCAAGAAGTATATCCAGCAACAAAAGACTACTGGAAAATATCTCATCATCAAAGTCCAGATTAAAACCCTGACCATCTGATCTGCATATACTATTACAGCTCTAGTTGACAGTGGCTGTACTGGAAGTTCCATCAATCATGCTTTCATCATCAAGTACAATCTTTCTACTCAAGCCACTGCAGCCCTAATTCTGGTATATAATGTTGATGGGACAAAGAACCAAGCTAGATCAATCACAGAGTTCATCAAACTCTGATTGATGATCAAAGATCACTCAGAATAGATCAACCTAGCTATGATTGAGCTGGGATTCAAGGAGATCTTCCTGAGTCATGACTGGCTTATTCAGCACAACCTGCTCATCAATTGGAAGACTGGGCAGATCATCTTTGCTCAATGCCAATGTCACAAAATACCTTTTGAGTTGTCTGATGAAGATCCAGAAAACTGCTGAGATAAGGAGATGGAAGATGGAGAAACAATACTGACTGTGGATATAGATCATGTGATCTATGTCTGAGCAGTGCACTATGCTAATGACTTGGCAGCAAGAGTGAACAAAAAAAAAGAGACTAAGACCTTTAAGGAATTAGTGTCTGAATAAGCATGAGACTTTTGCAATCTGTTTGCCAAAGAAAACTTTGACAAACTACCAGAGCCAAAGCCTTGGAATCATGCAATCAAACTTATTTCTAACACTAGCACTAACCTTGACTGCAAGGTATATAACTTCAGTTTGCCAGAACAAATCAAACTAGATAAATTCCTGGAGAAAAATCTGATCAGCAGACAGATCAGACTGTCAAAGTCCTCCATGGCATCACCCTTCATCTTTGTCAAAAAAAAGGATGGTAAACTCCAACTAGTCCAGGATTACTGAAAACTCAATGAGATGACAGTCAAGAATCATTATCCTCTGTTATTGATTTCTGAATTGATAGACAAGTTGTGTGGTACTTGGTATTATTTCAAGCTTGATGTTCAGTGGGAATACAACAACATGCAGATTAAGAAAGGAGATGAATGGAAGACTATATTCTGAACTAACTGCAGACTCTTTGAGCCTACAGTTATGTTTTTCAGATTAACTAATTCATCTGCAACCTTCCAATAGATGATAAATGACATCCTCAAAGACCTCATTGCCACAGAAAAAGTCATGATCTATTTGAACAACATTCTGATCATGTCAAAAGATCAAAATGAACACCAACACCTAGTTCACCAAGTATTGGAGCTGATGAGGAAACACAAGTTGTTCCTCAAAGCTGAGAAGTGCAAGTTTGAGATACTTGAGACCAAGTACCTCAGGGTGATTATCAGTGAAGAAAGTATCTGAATGGATTCCATCAAGGTGATAGGAGTGACAGAGTGGCCAAGGCCAACCAAGAAGAAGGAATTACAGTCTTTTCTCAGATTCACAAACTTTTACTGCTGATTTATCCAAGATTACAGCAAGATCATCCATCTTATGACCCAGCTCATAGAAAACACTCTCTGGACCTGAGAGATAGTCCAACAGTCTACATTTAATGATCTGAAGAGATGATTAGCTGAGGGTGTGGTACTTGCAGTACCAACAGAGAAGGGGAAGTTCTGAGTCAAAGCTGACTCAAGTGAGGAAGCAATAGGAGCAGAATGAAAAATGGTGACCCATTGCATTCCTCTTGAACATACTAACCACCACTGAATGCAACTACAAGATTTACAACAAGGAACTCCTGGCAACCATGCAGGCATTATCCAAGTGGAGACATTACCTGATCAGTGCCATTCACATCTTTAAGGTCTGGACCAATCATCAAAACCTATGCTACTCCTGATCACTGCAGAAACTCAACCAATAGCAAGCCTGCTGGGTTATCAAACTCATGTAGTATCAATACACTATATATTATAAGGTGGAAACAGTGAACAAGAAGGCAGATCTGTTGAGTCATAGGTCTGATCATAACTAGAGAGAGGAGGACAACAATGGAGTAATCATCTTAAAGCTGAAACACTTTCATACTATGATTATGCCAACAGAAGAGGAAATCCATGAGCAAATCAAGAGTGCAATATGACAAACAGAACTATGGAATCAATGGATTGTCTCTTCCATCAATCATGAATGGAGCATGACCAGATCAGAGGACTTGATTTACTATGACAATCAAATCTACATTCCCCATGACCATGCTCTCCAAGGAGAGATTATTGCAATGTCTCTTATGGTAAAGCTCCACCTCATCACTCAGGTGAATCCATGATACCCCTGCTCCAGCTGCTCATATCTCTACTGAGTGCACCATTAGCTATTCTCACTGATAATGGAGAAGAGTTCATGTCTTACATTGTTTAAAACTTCCTTCAACACATGAAGATTCATCACCTCCATATCTCACCATATCATTCACAGACTAATAGGTGCCTCAAAAAGTTTAATGATATCTGCATCCAGATCTTAGCTCACTATACAGCACCCAATAGACAGGATGAATGGGACAAATACTTGCCTGACACTTTCCTTGCCCACAATACCCATATCAACCATTCCATCAATCACTCCCTACTCTATATGCTCTGTGGCCATGAACCCCACCTCTCTCATGACACAGTCTACCCTCATGACATGGTCTACAATATTGTATGCCTTTCTCCTACTGACAAGGAGATTGAAGCCCTTCAGAAACATTGCCTGGAATATGTTCATAACTTGGAGAAATTTAGAAAGGAGGCCAATGCAGAAGGACACAAGCTTCTTGTACAGATTGTGAAGGAATGGGAGCAAGAATACTTAGAACAAGGCCTAGTGATTGGTGACCTGGTCAAGAGACAGAGCAAATGTCAGTCAAAGCTCCATCCTTATTAGGATGGACCTTTTATTATCTGTGACATTTCAGACAAGAATACTTACCAGTTGATGACTAGAAATGGCTACATTCTCCAGAATCTTTACAATGGAGAACAACCCTGATGATATCACCCCCCTAATAGTGACACCTCACTCTGGTATGCTTCTGCAGACTTACAATAGCATGACACATATCAAAGAATGAGGACAAGGGCTGTATAACTGTCACTTGTCACAATCAGTTGTTCTATCACACCTTTCTGATTCAGCACTTGACTTCAATTCTGCCCTCAACACCTCAATTCTTGCACTTGACATTTCTCTTTTGCAGGAGCAAAAGTCTTAATGAGAGGGATACTGTTGTATCTCCCTACAAAGTGCCCTAGTTTGTTTGTATTTCCTTCTAAAGCCTATGCACCCTGCCCAACCTCCTGGCTCATCCTTATCTGCCTCCATCTACTCCCTATTTTCATTATGACTTGTCCTTACTTTGTACTGTACTTATATGACTTTACCTTGACTCAGAATACTGTGCCTATGATTCACCCTATTCATTTCCCTCATCCTCCAATCACCTGTACTTTATTATGGCTCTGAAATATTCTGTACATTAGCATAAAAGACATAGGGACATCAATACACTTAGAATTCTCTCATTGCTATTCTCTCTGAACCAGCATTGGACCTAAGAGGATAGGGCAATACCTCAAAGGTTTCTCCATGGCCAAGGCCAAGTTTGTCAGGCTTTGTCAGGCTTTTGTAAGCATTGGCACATTGCAATTTAGGCACTAAGATCATGACAGAATGCCTAACAGGGACATAGATAAAACTACTTAAGAGTTGGGTATTTATTTACAGTCATTAGTTGCTAATTAAGTATAGTTAGGAAGTTTATAAACAAGGTATGTTAAACAGGTTTCATGCAAAAGATGTGCACAAATCATTAGAGAGGGACTACTTGTTCTTCTTCTTAGATTTCCTTATATATTTCCCTCTCCTCGATTCTGAGTACGTACACTCAATACCGAGCATAGTGCATCTCCTAACCCAAAAGATAAGCACCAGCTGAAATAAGATGAAACTGAGAATTCACCGGCACCGCTCTCCAGGACCATCTAAACATTTACTCTTCTTCATTCTACAGTAATTGCAAGCAACTGACTTGGGCCCCGGCTCTCCTCTGAACTTGACATTCGAAGAAATTCGCGATAATTGGCATGAAACCAAGGAATGAAAATCAGAGTCCGAGTCGGTCTGTGGAAGCACGCGGTATGGGGAACTGGAGGGACCAGCCTCGGCGTTGTCATTGGGGACATAGACAATAAACCGAGAGCTAGCAGTGGAGCCTTCAGCTACGTCTGAATGAGATGCAGGGCAGGGGCGGCCAGCTTCAGGATTGTTGAAAGGGGCGTGTCCTTCAGGTACCTGCGTCCCAGACGGGTATACACCAAAGTCCGAAACGACGTCGGGATGAGAAGGTGGATCGTTATTGTCATGAAAAAATAACGCAGATTGTAGTTGTGCCTAACAGTGAGATGACTGTCACCCGTTGAACATGCACGCATAGGGAGATACACTCACCGACAGCCCGGGGGTTTCTGCTCGATTTAAAAGAGGTATTCCCCCTTCCGACGAAGCAGGACTATTAAATGGCGGCCAACGTTGTAAACTCTGGGTGATGTTTGGATGACTGTAATTGTAATGACTATAGGCCATGTGGCTACCTGTAGGATACGGCATCGGCATCGAGCCTGTAGCGAGCTGAGGCAAGTTCTCATAGCTTGGCCGCCGCGAAGAATGGTAAGGGCTCGGGGCACCATCGGACGACTGTTCATTCCAGTTGTAACCGCCCTGCCAACTAAGACGCCTCGCCTCAGGTCTTCCATCGTCAGAACTGGTCTCAGGGCCATACAGGTTGTGGTGTGCCCGGTAATTGGATGGAAATGAGTTACGTCGCTGAGAGGTAATGTCAGGCATTATCAATGATTGATACTGCCCTGAGGCGGGCGACGGTTCGAAGCTAGCATCGTGTACTTGATCCACGTATTGTACCTAAGAGTAACGTGAAATAGAAACCATCAGACACGAACTTACAGCGGAAAATAGAAAGAAAGTCAAAGCATACCTCTGATCCGTTACTACTTCCAGCGTCGGACATATAATACTCGGAGGTGGGAATGCTGGTAGAACCATTCCGAGACGCGGACTGGTCCCATTCATACCCTGAGGTTGCTCGCAAAGGATTGTCTACCCATGAGACATTGACACTGGACAATGAGGATCTCTCTAGATCGTCTAAACGTCGAGCGAACCAGTCCTCCTCTACAACTTCCTCTTCTTGTTCGGGATCAAAATCGAACACCAGGAAGTCCTGCTCGTCTTGCAATGACCGGTCGTTGAAGTTGTCACTGTCAGACATTTAGAATGAAAGCGGGAAGAAGAGAGAGGCAGAGAAGGATCGATGGCGAAGAATTACTGGAGGAAGACCGAGGAAAACTAGTAGTTATAAGGACTATACGAGCGGCGGCGGGGACCTTAGGTCTTTGTCACTTGTCCTTGGGTCCGGTATCCCCGCCAACCTTCAAACGAGGGTCAACATGGTCCCACTGCAGCATTGGGCATCACAACCTTGTCTTTCGGTGAGAAAAAAGGATGGAAGGGACAACACGGAAGTAAACCATGCCAGGCACACAGGCTCTGGCGAAAACAACAGCCTTTCGTAAGTTCAGGAGTCCCAAAGTACAAAGGTCAATTGAATTGACCGCAGCAGCGAATAGGAAGCGCGTTTTGAAGCGCGCGTCTCCCTTCTTGACAATTTATTTGGCACCACACTAAGTAGAGAACACATGCCCCTCAATGTCGCCTGAGACGTCAAGAATTTTCCCCCGGAAGGAGCTTAGCCTCCAGGGACGGTAAAATCTTTCGCGAGAAAACGATGGCCCGTGGACGAGCAAGAAAAACGAGGGTAGACATTTTGGAAAAAATTCAATTACAGCTTTCCATCGTGACTGCTGTTGAGAATACTATCGCGTTCACAAGTAATGTGGTCCACGGTAGAGAGGGCTAGGCCCTAGAGAGAGGGACGTAACACTTGCAGTAGTAACCGTTTGACATGTAATGATGAATCGTCAGGATCAAGGGCCGGAACGGGTGACTATTTTGGCATCTTACGCTTCAACTACCATCAACATCGCTTGCATGCCTTTCATTTCTTTGGAGATATCAGCCACGTCCGAGGTCCTAAATGCCCCTCGTTTCTTACCGAAGGTATCAAATCGGTCGCACCGAGACTTGCTCGACATAGGCATAGAACGTGCTAATATTTCTTATTGTTCTAGCTATGTCGCTGAGGTCTGGCTAACGATGACACTGATTTCCCTATGGAGTACTACCTTGCATGTCTTTTTGTCTGTTCTTGGGGGAAGATGACATTGCAGTCTTGAAGAGTCAGGGCTAGCTCTGTGGTTCGAATTTGCTTTTGAAGCGATGATTGAGTCTCATTACAGCCGACTCCTTCATGTTGTGGTCTTTGACTTGCATAAATCTCTTCCTTTAGCCTCAGTTTGTGACGTTCTCACTTGGTCTGCTGCATTTTGTCACTTCAAACATTGTTTAAACCGGTACAGAGTACTCCGAGTCGAGCTCTCGTTTGCCTGGATTTTGTCGGAGGCTCTCGCAGCTCCACGAAAGGATGTCGTGATTGCCTTTCATCTGTGTAGCCCCAGTTGGCATGGTAGAGGTTCATATTGTTCTTGTGCTTCATCTGACATTTGCATGAGGACTATAACGTGCACCTTTCATTACGATTGCTATCTGGCGCGCGCCGTCCAAGTTCATGACCTCGCTAAATGGTCCGTAGAGACTTGTGGTGACTGGCATCCCGCTTCCAATGTTTTCTCCTAGCCTCCGAACCTACCTCGCTCACACTGGATGCTCGCAATTGTCTGCTATAACGAAGGCCTGGTCAAAATCCTCGGTTGTAACTGATAACACCGATGTTTCTGGCTGTCCCTGAAGATATCCTTACGGCAATTAATTATTGTCACTCATGGTCCTCAAGGACCTCTCACTGGTTAGGATGCATTCACGACTATCGTTGAGACCTATTGCCTTTATCTTGCAAGACACTTTTTGCTTCTAAAACTAAAACCGCCGATGAAAAGCGTCCCTTTTATGTATGCGAGCAGAGAATGCTGTGACAATCGGCAAATAACTGAACAAATGTAGTGCGAATTCCGAGAAACAGAGAGAAATACAATGAAATTAGATCTTTATCTTTATGACTGTACGTTCGTCCCCTCAATATCTCCAATTAAGAATAGTAGGACACAAGTAAGACTTGCAATTCGTTGAGAACCTTCGTTGTATATTCCGGGGTTCCTTGCGACCCAGGTAGGTCTTCTTTTTATTTCTACACCTGTATCCTTCAGTACTAGTTTTGTGCACAAGCTCGCCGTCAAAGTTATGATAAATCTCCATATGTCTACGATCAAATGTCGAGAAACGCATCCATGATAAAAAGTCTTTGATCGTAATGAGGGGGGAAGAATAACATAAGGCAGTCGAATGGATTCAGAGAAATGTAAGTATATAGCTTCCGGGCAGTCTCATGACCAAAAAATATGGCCCACGTTCTGCGGCCGCCGATAAGGCTCTGAAGCCTTCCTTCATGGCGCCGACATTGCTGAAATATGCTTCAATTTTCCTCGTATTGACGCTCAATGCCGTTGCGAACGACCAGGTGCCCTTGAACGCGTCGCCCGTCCTGGGCACGCTTCACAGATTTTTACGCAACGAGAGCAGGGTAGTCAATGAACTCCAGGTGCGTTATCTTTCTGCCCGTTCTGGACTTTGCAGCATCTTTCGCTCGCAGCAATTCGACGTCGATATCTGGCAAGCGACGCCTGAGCTCGTCGACATATACACCCCCCTCTCAGGGCCGGGCCTACCAGAAGCTCTTCGCGCGATTCCAAGCACCTCTTCGCCCATTTACTATCCATATCAGCAACGGCAGGTCGAGCCATGGAACCTCGCCTCCTTCGAAAACACGACGTTCCACTCCGCGTACCATCCCCTGTACGAAATCGACGACTTTGTCTACCAACTGGCAGCAGAACACCCTTCGACGGTGAGCGTCATTCACCTGGGCCATTCAGGTGAGGGCAGAGAAATGCGGGGCCTGAAAATATCCAGTGGATCCACAGGAGTGAAGAAGACGGGATATCGAAAGGGGGTGGATCCCTCGCAAAAGCTCGGGTTCGTCGTTGCAGGTGCTCAACATGCTAGGGAGGTGGGTGATGTTCAGTCCATCTCGTTTATCATCTTATTAAAGTCTGCCAGTGGGTCGCTACGGCTGCAGCACTGTACATCGCTCATGCCCTGGTCGCCACGGCGTCCGAGAAATACTCCTTGTCACCGCTTCTGGGTACCTACGCAAGTTTTATTCGGGTACTTCTCATAGCCATGGCTCACGGATTTGTCGTTATAGGATTTCTACATCATCCCAGCTCCTAATCCTGATGGGTACGACTTCACCTGGGAGAGCGACCGCTTCTGGTATAAAAACCGTCAAGTCATGGGTCCTGCTGAAAAATGTATTGGATTAGATATGAACAGGTGTGTCGTCTGTCCCTTTCCTTCGACTCAGGAGGCTTACTAGCTACTAGGAATTGGGTACGCCTCCCTCTCCCCATCTTTTCATTTACGTTCCTTCACACTTTTTGTCAGGGATACAAATGGAAAGCCAATGCGATGTACTTCAAGAACCCCGCAACACCTGTTGACCCTTGCTCGCATTGGTTCCCGGGTCACCGACCGTTTGAAGCCCCAGAAGTGAACAACCTCGCCAACTATATCACGACCCTTCCCAACCTTCTCGCGTTTGTCGACTTGCGGAGCTATGGCCAAATGAGTACATCTTGACACACGGTTGCAAATTTTCTCTTTGCTTACCGCGAGCTTGGGTAGTCTCGTCTCCATACTCGTACTCGTGCGAACGCGTGCCGAAAGACGCGGAGGATCAGATTGAAGCAGCGACTGGCGCAGCGCACGCGTTGAAGCTCGCTCATGGCACAAAATTTAAGGTGTGTCCGTCGTTGCTGAGCGATTTTCCGGGAGCTTATCATGTTATATAGATCGCGACCCTCTGCGAGTCTCTATACCGGCAAGTTTTTAAATCATACAGGCATGAAGCGATCATCTTCTTACCCAAATACAGCGCCCCCGGGAACATCGTCGACTGGATGTACGCCCGTGCCCAGATAAAGTACTCTTATGCTGTCCATCTACGCGATACAGGAACGGTATGTGCGCTTTCTGATCGTTAGTTTATTCAGCTTTCCTGATATTCCCCAGTACGGCTTTTCGTTACCCCCAGAATGGATTCGGCCCGTTGGCGAAGAGACAGGAAATATGGTCAAATACCTCGCCGGTTTTATTGCAAAACAGTTGAAAAGTACGTTAGTTGTAAGCCCTGCACTTTGGTATGGGAGCTAAAATGAAATAGGAGAAAAAATTGGGTTCGCGTGATTGATGTATCTTCGTTCTGCTATTGTATTACTATATCATTTTCTCAGTTCTCCGATCAGTGATGAACCACACTAGACTTTCTTTGGGGTAGTGATACGAACAGAGTTTATTCAGAACACCGAACAGGCAAAGCCCGTTCACTGGGGTCTCATAAACATTCGGTTTCCTTGCAGCAAACATGTAGACTCCCTTGGTGCCCTATCGTTTAACTAATGTGAAAAATGTGGTCGTAGAGGTGGAGACCTCGCCGCCACATCGATGATATTGATACTGGTAATACGTGTGATGAGATAAAACAAAAAAACATGAAATAGATATTGAGACATATGCTTTGCTACACATGGGATCATAAAGAGGAATATATATACAAGTCCAGCACGAGCCTCACCCACGCCTGCGGTCATCATCAAACTCCAATTTCCCAATCACCTCCTCCGACCCCTGGCTCGTAGCTGAACCGTATCTCGGGCGCACAAATCCCCCCATCCCAAGCCCGATGGGACTCCCCCTCCCACGGCTTTCGGGGCTATCACTCGTCTTCCTCCGGATGTTCCCCTCAATCCCTCCTAGGCCTTCCAAACTCGCAAGGAATGCTTCGTTCATCTTTCGAAGCTTCTCATCCACTTCCCCCTCACTAGTCAGCATAGCGCCAGGCGGTGAGATGGCCTCCTGCTTTAGCAGCAGCCCGCCCTCTTCCTTCTGTGGCGGCGGCAGCACCGGAAATGCCTGTCGTGGAGACTGCGAGTGCAGCCTGTGCCTCCCGCTCAGCGGTTTCCTCGCATCGATATCCTGCACAAATGTCGAAATCTCATCGTCATCCGTATTGGTGCTCAGGAAAGACGCGCTCCCGACTTTCTCGTTCGCGCTGCCGCTGCCATCGCTTCCTGCACCCAGAGATGGCGCGTATCGATGGCCGAAGCTGCTTGAGTAACGCTTCCTGGGAGGTATAAGTGGTGGTTTCGGGCTATCCGATTCCTCGCTCCGCAGGCTCGAAGGTGCAAAAGGGGGTGAAGGCCGGCTTGCAAGGCCTATCGGAGATAAAGGAGCCGGTGCCCGGTTCATCGTTGGAGATCGCGTAGGACCTAGGGCCGGCAAGTTTGCTATGCCTACAGAAGATAGCGATCCTGCGACACCACCTCCAAACGAGGCACTACTCCCCCCAAGGCTGCCGCCTGAAGGCGATGCGGATACTAATGTGTTGCTCTTGAACGGGTGCACGGGGTTAATATTTGGACGGCGAATAGCAAGGGGAGCTGATGGTAGATCTGCGGAGCCGCTTCGACCGGTGCTCTCCCTTCGCAAACGCGCTGCCAAGGAGAGTCCAGAAGGCGGTCGGCTGCTGTTATCGGTCAACGATCCAGATGTGGAACCGGGGGGTAGAGGTACGTTTCTCGGACTGCCACTAATTAATGATTGCGGCCGCGAGGAGGAAGGCAAGACAAATCGGTCTGCAATGGAAATACTTATTGGTGGAGATCTAGGAAGGGAAGTCCGGATGGGAAGGCTGCTACCTGGCGAGCCTGTTATTGAGTCTCGCTGAAGATTCTTGGACAGTGTTGGCACAAATTCTGGACCTTCGGAGAGAAAACGCGACGAGAGGAGGGATTCCAAGTCGTCCACCCGGAAATGAGGCATCGTCAGATACGTCGCGGACAGCGAGAGCGTACCCATGGGGTGAGATACAGGCACGAACACGTGCGTCTTGCTGGGAAGAGGGGAAGCTCCTGTCGCCGGCGAGGCATCTGATAATAAAGGATGAGATCAGTACTTGGCGTGAAATGTAAAGGACATACCGAAGCCTAGAATGAGGCCGGAATCACCCAGCGCCTGTGTTCGTACCCGCAATTGGATATTGAGGTTCCCATTGCCTGCCCCGCGTCTCCGGAGCCGCTTGCAGAGTTTCCATGCGGGGAGGATACGCAGCAGACTGTACAGGCTGCGAAAGAGTGGTATGCCATGCTTGTACACCGTGGACAGCGCGACGTCAGAACCATCCTCCTCACTGATACGGCGATTATTGAAGGCAAGGACCCAGCTCTCGAGCAGAATATACTTTGGTGTCGGCTTTATCTGCAACCTGGATGAATCCGGCGACAAGTAAACGAGGACCTGATTGCTGCTAAGCTCTGGTACAGAGAGAAGGACCTGGATTTCCAGTGGTGGTGGTGGTGGAGACGTTGACACTGACTTGTACTTGTCGCGAATTTCCTTTGGAAACATATCAGAGTCGTATGTCTCCAGATTGAACTACGTCCTTGTCAGTATTCTGCAGTGATATACGGACATTTCCGACGCACCCATTTGTCAACCTTTAACTGCAGTCGCGACTCAGCCGTCGTTCTAGCATCGCTGACGACGTAAAATAGCTTGGTATAGAAGTGCAACGCAATCTGGTCGGCTTTCTGGTTGTCATTGAACATCGCTAGTGAGGAAATCAAGATATTATGCGAGGAAAGTCATTTCTAGATGTTCAGGCTGGATATGAAGGAGAAATGCGAGGGAAAGGCGGCGGAAAGGTGGTAAAATGCTGTGGTCCGCGAGGGTACCGCACAAAGGTGCGATTACTTAAGCCATGCCAATCGCGCCCCCACGTGGCTGTGGCGTGCGCACTCAAGATCTGCACTTCCAGAATTCTCGCTTTGGAGTTGTCACAGACATTGTCACGGTAAATTAAATAATCAAGCCTTGCTTGAGGAAGAGAATATATCTCTTTTGTATCTTTGCTTAGGACTTGCCGCAGACTCATATCTCTGGCTCTTTACCTTCAGACAGTTACCCTTTGACTACTGCTTAGGCTCCTAGGGATCAGACACTGTCGGATGGCGCCTTCGAGGAACAGCTTTAGGATCTGGTTCTAAAAGTACACCTACGGATTTGGAATTACAGTAGCCGATCACGTCGAACGCTGTTACTTTCCGGCTTATCTTGGGGCCTACTACTGCATAATTACGATAAGTGTTCACAGGGTGTTACGCGTTACACCTGGAACACCGAAAAATTTTTTTTGTCCCATCCACCACACATCGTCTTTTTCCTCAAATAAAGTATCCACAAAATTTTCAATATCCCCTAGAAGTTAGTATACATTAATCACACCTCTGAAGCTAGTTTGGGCCAGACAGTGTTCGGTACCGTAGCACGCTAATGTGACTCTGGTTAGTTTCCTTCTTAGGGACATAAGAACCCGTTACCCGTTACACATTTCCAAAAGTGTTCAGTTCACAAGTCACTGTTATGCGTTGTGCTGTACTTGGTTCTGGAAGATAGTAGCTGGTATGTCTCCCAGGATATGATGTTAGGCCAATGCTTTCTCGCCAAACTCCCCCCTCGACCGTTCCACAAACCTTATGACTCTGCGTATGCAATTCAGGCCCTATAATTCGCCAAGTTATCGTTTCGATATTCTAGGATTCTAGAATATGAATATAGTGATGCCGAAGAGCGTCTGTTTTTTTTTTCTCTATGGTTTCCAGGTTCTTGGCGCGACTTCACTCCACGTCAAACTGAAAACGCTTCATTGCTGGTCTTGATATTTTCGTGAGGTGCACGATAGTCCCTAGACCTTAGTATATTGAAAAACTCCCTCTATATTTAACCAACGTCTCCGAGTTCAGTAGACCAATCAGGACTGTGGCATTTCTGGCTTAAAACCAGTGGTTACAGCTACATATTCATCGCATCCTTGTTGCTGGAGACCAGAGTTGGTCATTCCCTCCGCTCAGTTCCGTCCATGAAATATGTCAGACCTTCCTCAGTAAGTCTTCAAATCTTTTGACTTCGAGTTATCCTTTGAAATGATTCGCTCTAGACGGAGGCCTCCCCTGGTCTAATTGTACAATATCAAATGTGCGGCTTGAAGATCGAAAGGATCTTTGTAAAGATAACGATCGTGCATTGAAGCCGACGGCCAGGGACATTTGTGGTGACTTTATTCTAACATTCGTCGCAAGCATGAGAGATTCGATAGATCTGGTCATTTGGAAGCATAAAAATAATAGATATGACCGTCAAGCACTTGTGTCCTGTCAAAATCAAGCGAGCAAGTGAGCTGATGCCGGTATGGCGTCCTTCCTCAAGTAGCTTTGACCTCCTATTCCTATGTGAGCGAGTCATATATGGAAAACTTTTTTAATTCTGGCGATGCCGAAGGAAGTCTGTGATGGCTTTGGGAAAGTACAGCGGACAACGCGTGAATGCCAAGAAGTATATGATTCTCAGAACAACAGAAGTCACATCACGAGCAGAAGTACGCGAAGGCTAAATGCGTATCTACTAGATAAGCCGACAACCAAGTGACAGAAGGATGACGATCAGGCCCAGGCTCGACATCTATGAGTTTAATATCAGTGTCACGGTCGCGGTGCATAACCTGAAGCCTACCTAGATGGAAGTTCGCTTCGGCGCGCGACAGAGTTTCCACCACTCGTTGCTCTGGTCCCTATGTGGCTATTGATTGAAAAGCATGAACACCGAGTTAATCCTTGCTCAAAAGATGACTCAAACCTTGTTGTTCTCGTCCGAAACGTCTGTGCGTACCAAGCCTTAGTACGAATGTAGAGAAAAAACCCGAGCTACTCACGAGCTTTGATACACTCCCAAGTACAGGTGACGCCCAAACCGTACTTGGAGTCGTCAAAATACATGGTGCAGTAGCCAAGAAGTGCATATTGCTTGGTCGGCATATACACCTCTCCAGCCTTCCATATATCAATGCGAGTCTGGATGGGAAGGTCGCCGCACTCTGGCTCGTTGAACTTGGGAGCTCCCCCTTGCTCAACGCGTTGCCTTCGTTCGGTGGATAGAGCTTGGAGGATATTGGACATTGATGGTTATACGGATAGCGTTCAGTGGAGCTACTCCCTTGATAAACTCTCAGAAATGCGGTAATTAATAGCATGCCTAGGTGTCGTGTCGAGAGCATGCATCTTCTCCACTACGACTCACGTCACTGAGTAGGTCATCCGCTCATCGTAGAGTGGATCGGAGTGGAATAAACTGCGCAAAGCTCTGCGGATGGAACCTCCAAAGCTGTACGAAAACGAAGCAGACAATGGAATGCCAAACCAACAGCGCAATAGGAAAACCCAGCACCAGTTTGGTCAAGAAAAACATCAAAGAAGACAACGAATTCTAAGCATTTGTCTTTCCGCAGGAGGAAGTGATATACTTAGTGGCAAATGGCAAATGAATGACTCGCCTAGCCAACGTTATTCGTACACCATGGAAAAATAGGAACGTCGACGTTTTGTCGAGCAGTCTGTTCAATTTCTCGTCGTTCATCTTCAAACTCCTAAGGCGCGTATAAACAATCTATAAGTACATCTTTCTCAATCTACTTACAAAAATTCCAAGCAAGTACTCCTTCACTTGGCTACTTTCGCCGGTCCGTGCCGGCTAGAAGAAGACAATGTCTGACGTGAAGCAGCGCAGGCAGACAAGCACGCGACGATGACTAGAGGCAGCTTCGGCCTAACCCCGGGGCCGATAATCGATAGCCAAGGTGCTGCTCGAAGGAGGGAGTTCGATATGACATACTCCGCGAACCTCGTGGATGCAGATATAGCATGAGCCATACCCAATGGGATCGAAATTAACGACTAGAGCGTGCTGTTCATCAATATGAGTGTGCTTCCGTGCAGTGGAGATTAATGTATGGGTCGGGAGCGTTTCATATGTGCAGGTGATATACGCTGGTCTGCTTTCGTAGGCAGACGTCTCAACCAATCAGTATACGGGATCCTGGGACGGAAGGTGGTCATACAGAATACAAGTCGGTTCGATGCACATTGCAAGTACTTGTTTTATCCTCGCGGAGTTCTGTAGTCTTTCCAAAAATACTAGGTCGTACATATTAGCTTCCGCAATATCTTCAAAGGGGCGCGACATAATTAAATTCAGGTCCGGTCGAGGCTAATCCCAGGGAAATGAGTGTCAGGTGCGACAGCCGATATCTGGGCCAGCGTACCAGATCATCGATATCACTCTTACTGCCACTTGGTCAATGACAGATTACGTGGTCGCCATAACATTAATGAAGGTGCTAACGAGAGAGCACTGACCCAGTAATATTGTCCTTACAAAATCGAGGCGTGCCAACCGTCGACCATAGAGAAAGTCTAATGTTCCCAAAAAGATCACCCCTTGGAATCCTTGGCAAAAAAGAAGATTTAGAGTATATGGGTGTTGCCGGTCCGAACGCCTCCGCTTCATGGTTGTGATGACGATGGAAGCAGATATGTAGCAGATATACAGCAACTCCGGAACCAGCTACTTAGTCACATATACTCGGTTCTGATGGTTAAGTGCTTTTCGTGGATGGTTTGTAGTTCCAAATCTGCAAATTAAATTTATAGTCATTCTGGGGGTTAGAGATACCCCAAATGTCTCAGGGATTTGACAGGCCCGGGAGTCCAGGACATCATGTCAGAGGAACTTTAACAATGACTGCAGGGTCATACCTTTATACTAGGAGTGTCATATCAGTGTGAACAGGAAAGTCCAATGTGTAAATGTGAGAGTAGAGGAGGACTGAGGGGGACATATTTTATCAGCTTTATTCTGGTTGATATCTACTCACAGGGAAACATAGACAGTCAATCATCCTTTCCTCTCGGCATCACATACTTAACACAGTACAACTTCAAGCATCACTTCAAATTTCACAGTGGAGATAGTTGTGATGTCACATATACCAAAAATACATATTGCACTGGCTCAAAAAAGATAGTCTAACTATAAACAATGAACTAACTTTCATTCCTTCTCAGATGCACCGTCACATCTTCACAGAAGAAATGAAAAAAGAAGTGGAGGTTTCCAAAAATTGCTATAAGCCGAAGCAAATAGACGGGTTCGGATGTATAATTTGCAATCAGCAAAATAACTGTACCTCGGTAAAGACCTCATAGGTGACAGTAAACCCTAGCACAAGAGATGAAAAATCACGGGACCGGATGCTGGTTTATATATGAATCCGTCAACGTGCACGGACCACAGCGCTTTTTGGAGGAAATCGCGGAAATCTTCCATGCCGAAATGCCGCTTCATACAATGTTTTGAGATCCACCCAAAGAGGGTAAGACGAAGTCTTAAAAACGCCACTGATGTATGAAACAAGTCAACGAAACTGTTTCGAGGAAGTGTAGACACACGCTACACCGAACCGGTCCTTTTCTTTGTCTGTGCTACCGACAGTAGTCGACGCTTGGAGCGCGTCTTTGTCATGCCTCATAAGATGTCTTAAAATGGGCAATGTCCTATTACATTAGAAAGCAACTAAGATAACCAACGAACTAACCAACCGCCTATGCCGCACGAATCTCCGTCCTAGACTGCTCGAACTCAGCCTTCCACCTCGTAAATCCTCTCAAGGGTACCTCTCCGCAAAGTGTCTTCGTTATGCGGTGAAGTTCATCAAGAGACTGCCACATCGCGTAGTAATCAGCATACCAGACTCTTGGTCAGAACAAGATCATAACTCACATGCAAGAGCTGATACACCGCAACCACACCGGCGGCGTAATACATATAGTCCAACGAGGTGGCAGACTCTAGCGTCAGCGAGTCCCTGATCGCATAGTTGCTCTGGTGATAGAACAGCTTCTCCAGGAGTGTCTCTGGGAGAACTTGATGCATCGGCTCAGCAGTGCGCAAAGATTGTGATACAAGCGAAAAAAGGCCCATGACGTCCGAAATCTAAGATCTGACATTCAGTACCTGCACGCCTAAGAAGAGAATGTAGCGCACAAAGTTGGGATTCAGCACGCCCGTATGATGGAGGAAAGTCACCCGCCAAGCGTCGTCAAGCTGCATAAGCGCGGCTCCGAGCTAATCGATGAAGATCAAGTCAGCTTGACTGATAGGAACTCAAAAGATACTACGTACCTGCCACAAACTCGAGACCATCTCAATCTGCACCTCCACTAGTTGTACGTACTCCTCCTTCGGCCACTTGCCGCGCAAACTCCCCTCCCACATCGCTAGCTCAGTCAACTCCCGTATCGTGCGCATTTCCGACGAAGCTCCCATAACCTTCTCACGGAACTCTTTCACCCACCTTGTCTTGGCTTGCTCTTCACCCCGTTCGACCTTTTCTTCGTCAGGCCCGACCTCAGATATCCACGTTGATATGAGGTGTCCGTAAAGATTCGACAGTGATGATATCGATGACGCATTCCGTAGACGTACGGCCTTTCGTCCAGAAGTAGGGGGAAGCATCATAACAACGAAAGATGCGCCGGAACCTGAAAAGAAAATCTGACGGGGAGGGGAAAAAGTTGTGGTTGAAAGCTTACCAATGACAACCAACACCCAGCGCCTCCAAGCAACGGACCAACCTTGACCTGTCACGAAGTTGGCCGATCCACATCGTAGAACATCAGAACAGTAGACGTACCAGGAGTAGCCAATTGGGTCAAATGCCCGTCTATCCACGAATATCCAACCACAAGGGCGAAGGTTGCCTAATAAAACATAGCATGACTTTTACACGTTTTGGATGAAAGCACGTGTACTCACACATCCTAGAACGACTCCCTGAAGATATTTGACGGGACTGAAAAGGCGAACAAAGACTATAGGGATGAGTACGAAGCCCACTGCTGCAGCAGATCCGTAGACACTTCCGTGTGAATTAGCATTGCCTATGTGTATGTTAACGATGAGAACGACGGATTACTCTCTTCGCTTTAAGAGTAACTCACCGAGATACCAGGCGAGAAGACCAGCGACGAGCCCACCAAAAGTACCAATCAAGCGGGTTACCAGGCTATAGAGGTTCACTGGTGAGAGAGGCAGGAAAAAAAAAAACAAAACAAGACCACCCACTTGAATATCTGATCCGCAGCATACAGATTGATCACTGTTTGAGCCATGATAAGCGCCCTACGTGATAAGAATCAATTTATAAAAAGAAATACAAGAAAACAAACGGTACCAGATGCCTTTCTCTCTGTAGAAAAAGACTATCAAAATATAAAGATTAGTCGTTAAACGAAAGGTCAGCGGTTAGACATACATGCAGAAGACCGCACCACACAAGGAATCCAAAGAGCGATAGAAATGAATATATATTTGAAGGCAAACTGCAGCAGAAGTGAGTCATTAGCAAAAGAAGCATTAGATAAAACGCACGATAGCTTCCGGAGTCAGCGTCCAGCGATATACAGCAGAGATACGATGCATGACTCTCTGGAAAGCATTGGTCGGCGGCCGGCTATCCGGGTCGCGTCCTACAGAGATATCATCAATACCCAAAGCATAAATTAGAAGAACCTGCATTTCACGTACGATGGTCCACCTCGTGCTCCTCCACATGCCGACCGGTAGCATGGGGCGAAACGTCGTCCCCAAGCACCGCATTTGTCTGATCACCTCTCGCTGAAAGGATCTTCCACAGCTTTCTCAGCCCCTTGGGCGCCCACAACCGGTTCGCCTTCCTTTTCTCCATGGTATCACTCACAAGCGTCATCAAACCCAGGGATGCCTCGCCTACGTTGATCATCGTCGTCGCAAACACATACGATACATACAACGAACGTAGTGGCAGGGTCTGGCTCCCTTGGGTGAGCTCGCGGTTATTGAGGATGGGCCTGAAAGGGTTGATCAGAGCAAGTCTGTTGGTCTTCTTGAATTCACCAAGGGAGGACTGGAGTTCTTCGATAGCTTTATCCAGCCCCACTCGCATCTGAGCGTCCATATCCGCGTTACGACTCCACCGACACTGATTGATATGGTTCAGAGAGCGTTTGGTCGTCTCGATGCCATTCGAGATGGCTTGTCGGAGAGGACCCGTAGAGCGGTCGATGATGGGGAGGACCTCAGATACGTGGACCTTGTGCTCCGCTTCGATAGTCTCGTTACGCTCGTGATATCGCCGGAGAAGATAGCCGTCGCTAGTATCAGGAATCGTGGTGGTAGAATCCGAACGGAAACGCTCAAACAGATGCTGGGACATGCAGATGAGCTGAGAGAAGCTCTGGAGACCGGCTAGGAAGAAGGATGGGTGAGCCGGATGCCAGGGACAGCTAACTGGGAGATACTGACCAACTTGAGTGACTAGGGTAAGGAGCGGTTCCAACAGATCTAGCACATCATCGCCATTCCATCTTCCGTGACTGAATTCCAAGTGGATAAATCGGGACGTAGCCATAACTGTCGTCAAGTGAGTATTTCCGATTTAACGAATAAAGAATGCTTACGCTGTTGCTGAGAGAGTACGATTGTGGCTCTCGCGACTTTGGTCTCCTTGATCAAAGGTGACTGTTCAGAAACTAGGTGCTCTGGCGGTGTACGCAACACTTCGTCCTGAGTCTCCACCATATCTTTCAAGCGGTCTAGTTGTTCCAATACGTCGTTAATAAGTGAGTGATTCATGCTTTCGGGGAAGATAAATATGGTCGTCAAAATCGCAATAGCCATATAGCATGAAACTGAGATGGCCATAGAGTTCATTAAGTGATAGTGAGCGGTTGGAAATAGAGGTCCGTAGGTCTGAGATTAAGTCAACTTCCTCTGTCATGCTCAGGGGTAGGTGGCTCACAGCAAAAATATCCACTGGAGTGCAAGCAACATGTGTCAGAAGATAAAAGAAAAGAGAGAAGTGAAGGCGTACTTGCAATAGTTCCAAAGATGCTAAGGAATATCAGAGTTGGTGCGTAGGCCCGGAAAAGACCCATTATGAAAGCTCCAAGCCCCAAAAAGCATCCATACACCACTGAAGCGCTGCAAAGGAGATGAACCACCGGTTTACATCAAAAGATACATGGCTCACCGAGTGTCCAGAAAGACTCCGTGGTAGATCGCGGTGGTCGTTGCTAGCGTAGGATTGGCTTGAAAGGCCGGATTAGCTGCTATGCTATACGACAGTCATTCAAATAGTGATAGCTGATAGTAAGCTTAGTGCGAACCTTGCATTCAGAACGGCCATCGATGCTTGTAGGACAGATGGATCCCTAGATTCGTTGGCCGCACGCATGGCAGCTGCACCAATACCCCATCCCAAGAGAAGCCCGACCTCAACGGTGGTCATAATCTGCCGGATATAAAATGAGGGGCCATAGCGAGTAACGAGCCACTCACAAAGAAAAAGAGCTGTACAGGTATGTAGGCTGGCACAAACAAACTTGTTAGCAGCCCAAAGAATCCACTTGTGATGACGTGAGTTATACGGGAACAAAATAGGATGAGTCATCGACGTACGCTGTACCAAGCGTTCTCAGCGACGCATTCGGGAGCATGATCACATACGCCAGCCAACAAGCTACACATGATCTGAACAATATCTTCAACGACCTCTTCGAGCGTAGGTTCTTCGAAACCCATGTGGGAAGGTACGACCACAGAGACGGTGGGGGCCTTGCCTTCAGTGGAGGAACAGGAGGAACAGGAGGAACAGGAGACGCGTCATGCTGTTGTTTGCGATCGGACGCGAAGGACTGAGTTGAAGGCGAGATCTTGACCGCCCTCGCCATGATGGTGGGGGTTCAACTAGGAGTAAGAAAACGGAGAAGAGTTATAATATATCCTCTTTTCCGAGGGGATCACCGATGATAGGGTCGAGATGCATGTAGAAGGCGTGTATTGGTATTTGAATACCTCGAGATGACCGTGCACAACGGACACCGAGTATTCTATTGTATCAGAATCGCCTTCGCACGGCGATTTGTTACTGCGGCACAGCCACCACGCCGTAACCCCCCGCGACGAGGTTCCTTAACAGGAATATGTGTGTAGAGTTTGACAAGAGATTACATGGAAAACCATGGATGCGGAGACAACTCGTGGACGCGCGTATGTGATTCTGAAGGGTAGTAGGACACATGTTGAGATGCGAGACGCGGAAACGCTGTTATACTCTTCGAGTCTAGCCTCGCCAGGCGAAGTAATAAGGGGATCAACTGAGACGAAGGCGGGATAGTGGACCCGAGTAAGGCACCAGCATTCCTCGTCGGGAAGGCATCACAGCATCACCGCAAGCCATGGGTCCAATACTGCAGGGTACAACAGGACAATGGTGTTGTATATACTTTCCTGAGCAAAACATATGAGTGCGGGGGAAGAATATGAAGACGATTCTTATACCTGGGACCACACATATATGTTAATGAAACCGGAGACCAAGAATTCAAAACGGATGCTCGCATCACTGCTAGTAAATGAAAATGAGATGAATTCCGTAATATCTGGGTACAAAAAGGACGCACCGCGGACATGCTTCTCTTGGGCCGTGTCCGCGCATGACGCCACACGAGGACCAGGCTGTATATATATTGGACTGCTGCGCCACGATACCAGGATTCGCCCTTTGCTGATTGGCCTCGGTTCAATACAATCCTTGCCGCAATTAATTGGCGGAAAGGGTGTGCTGATTCTGGCGCCAAGCGCTGCACTACGCGTCCTTGATCTGTACCGGTGGCATCGATGAGTCGAAGTTCGAGGGAGGCGTACGTGAGATGATAGAAGCCTGGCTATGTGCTACCGAACTAATACAGACTTCGTGCGCATCCCTATTTTTTATTTGTACCATGAACCTGACATCTGGAAACTCAGGAATATGAGTGTTTCGTAGTAATGGTACATGACATTTGAGACGGCCTTTCGATGTTCAGGGCTTCAATTGTTGGCCACTAGAGAAAGCGAGATACCTGTCACAGTAAAACGAGCTTCTTTGGAAGCTAGATACGAAACCATACTCGCTATATCAGAAGGTGCGCCGGACCTATCCTTCTTCCATTTAATACCAAGTTAGCAGGGAATGTCCGAGTCACAGTCTCAAGACATACCTTTCCATGGACTTTTTTCCAATCTACCATGAGAGCATTGCCAGCAGCAGTTGGGTAATCATCATATCGCAGATATTAAAGACTTTTCGGCGATATCTCAGGCATTGGTCACTAGTACTGGCTGGCGGCAGAATTGTACATAGCGGAAGGAGGCGGATAAGCTGTAAATCCGGAAAATCGGGCCGAACTAACATCACATGATCGCCTGTGACGCTTACAACGGGTTAGACATCCTCGATATTTCTTTCTCCCCAACCATCATGACGACCTCTCTCGATTATTTGAAGCAGACCGGTACTGTCGTCGTCTCTGACTCTGGCGACTTCGAATGTTTGTCTTCGATGTCTGCTGCTGCGAAATACTACTGACAAAGCCGATGCAGCCATCGATGTCTACAAGCCGCAGGTAAGACAGCAGAGCGCCAGCAGATCATGCATGGCATGCTGATAAATTGGTTTCAGGACGCGACGACCAACCCATCACTGATCCTGGCTGCCGCCCACAAGGCCAGATATGCTCGTCTCATTGACGCTGCTGTCGCCTTTGGAAAGTCTAAGGGTGGTGATATCAACACCCAAGCCAATGCTGCCATGGACAGGCTTGTGAGTATTGCATTGGAATTTATGGGGTTTTGTGTTCATCGTGTTCATCATCTTTAGCTCGTCGAATTCGGCAAGGAGATTCTCGCTATCATCCCGGGCCGGGTTTCCACCGAGGTTGACGCCCGACTTTCCTTTGACAAGGAGGCAACAAAGGCCAAGGTGCGCAATGTTTGCCTATATCGGTATTCCTACTCATTTTCCCACCAGGCTAGGGAACTCATTGCCCTGTACGATTCAGTCGGTGTCAAGAAGGACCGTGTCCTCATCAAAATTGCCTCGACGTGGGAGGGCATCCAAGCTGCCCGGGAACTCGAGCGAGACGACGGCATTCACTGTAACCTAACCCTCCTCTTCGGATTTGGTCAAGCCGTTGCTTGTGCCGAGGCCGGTGTCACGTTGATCTCTCCTTTCGTCGGCCGCGTAAATTAACCTTCCATCCGCTATCGATTAATCTCACCTCCGCACAGATCCTGGATTGGTACAAGAAGTCTACTGGAAAGACCTATGAGGCCGATGAAGACCCTGGTGTTATTTCTGTCAAGAAGATCTTCAACTATTATAAGCAATATGACTACAAAACCATCGTTATGGGGGCGTCGTTCCGTAACGTGCGTATCCGGCATTCGCTTCAACCGTCGTGTCTATATTCATGGATGCCCATAGACCGGGGAGATTAAAGCGTTGGCCGGTGTCGACTTCTTGACCATCTCGCCTTCCCTTCTCGAAGAACTGAAAGAGTCAAAGGAGCCTGTCCCCAAAAAGCTCGATGCGGTTATCGGTGAGCAGCCGTGTAATTCTTGTGCACCATGCGTTTCTCTGACGCACGTGTGTCGCCGCAGCTGCCCAAGCCAAAGAGCTTCCAAAGGTCACTTTCATCGACAACGAGCCTGAGTTCCGTTGGGCACTTCTCCAAGACCAAATGGCGTTCGACAAGTTGCACGAAGGTATCAAGAAGTTTGCTGAGGACGGCGAGACGCTCAAGGCGTTGCTCAAGACTAAGCTTTCCGCTTAAATGGTAACGTTGGGAAAGAAATTTATAAACGATTGTACAGTGTTGTCTGTGTCACAGGAAGAGAAGTTAAGTAGACTTTTGTGTATGTTATAGACAGTCCTTCAAAATTGCTTTTCGATTGATGAGATTTTAAATTCCCATTACTATAACTCCCATGTGCTTTGCCTGTAACTCCGTGATGCGGCGGCGCCTCTTTACAGTTTGTCGACATACGCCCACCTTTATAGCGCGCTGGTACCCGCGCTGATTGGTACCGGGTTAGATTAGTGTGATGAGTCCGAACAATTCATGATGCGATGCATGAACCCAACTATCAATAGAAACCCTTTGTTCAGAGAGGAGATACATGTACTCGTTCGCGGGACGTGGTGACGATCTTTATCATCCCTAGCGAAACCTTGAAACGTCGAGGGCAGGTCGGAGTATGACCTGTAGTAGATATTCTATCGAATCACGAATCACGAAATACCAAGCGCTAGGTAGACATGGAGACCGGAAAGACCTTTTTGACCGAGTCGTGATTCAAGGGCCAGAAAATCGCGTGGTAGAAGGTGACTAAGTATATGGGTCCATGTTTACGTGGGTGCCAGTGATTCCCACCGTGTACTTCCTCCGAATTACTTATTGCTCAACGCTTCTTTTTTGCCGGGGAGAGAGAGGGGGGGGGGATTCGGCTGGTTATTGACCCTGGGCAGCCGCGATTTTCCGGCGTTGAGCTTGTCCTCCTCTGGTCGTTTCCCTTCCATCCCCCCTTGCCGGGGATGGTATGAGTCGGAATGACGCCGTGGCGATGTTTGGCTATGTCACGTTTTTCACAAGGCCACGTTTTCGACAAATATAGCATGGTCCTCACCCCAGTCCCGGATTCCTTTTGTGACCGCGCTCCCGCTGCCACACGGAAAGAGTTTGACCGGTTCTGTAAATCGTATATTTCTGACTGCAACAGCAATATGCAGAGGCCGAATGGTGAGTCTCCAAGTTCCGAATTTTGCCAAAAAGCATATAGTTTCGAACATTGAGCTGACATGGTCTAGCGTCCTAAAAAGAGGGCAAAGGAAGACTCATATTTTGTCAGTTCTTTCCAAGGCAAATCGAAATTGATGCAGACTGTAAATTATGAGTCATGATCAGGTACCTAGGTACCTGAGGCTGTGCAACGTCGTCTTTCAGAGTCATTGCAGTAGCGGCTCGGTCATGGCAACCACACACTTGTAAGCACAATTTTTTCTTATCCAGTAACACTCTCACTGCTTTTATATCCATAGGGATCTACAACATCATGAAAAACCAGGGATTTTTCTGCATAAAATCGCATCTCTCCGGCGATCGAGGCGTGTACTGCCACAAGGGTCTATGACGAAGCGATTTGCAGTCATCTCGCTGTGAAATCGCTCTAAATTACCTCTTAGGGAATTATACGACGCCTCGTTGTTCTTCCCATCCCAGAGTAATCTCCCTATTTGCTCTGGACTTGCACTGGTTCGCTATCGATTCTCTTTGTTCCTTTCTGAGCCTTCCTGTCGGTGCTGATGACGGGCGCTGTTCCGGAAACGATTGTTAGTGCATCTCGTATATAAGTTATCTCTACTGCGGCTCTTGGTGGCTAGGTCTTGGGTCGCTCCATCGCTCCATCGCCGTTCCCAGATACGGGATATCTACGTCAAACGTAGAGGGCTCTCAAAATTCGGCGCCGCGCGCATTTCCTTGACGATCTACTCTAATAATGTCGCGCCACGAGCCGCGTAAAATCGCTCCGGCCCCCCCAGCAATATTACTTTACGATGCTGCCGGCCCGAATACCCAGCCTTGGGCTCCAAATATTTGGCGCATTCGGTAAGCTATCCTTCCGTCTTCACGGGCGCGTCTGATTGTTCTGAACACCTTATCAGATTCATCTTAAATTATAAGCGCCTCCGCTATCGTACCATATGGGTCGAGTTCCCAGACGTCGAAACAACGATACGATCACTGGGTGCCCCGCCTAGTGCCGTTCGAAATGATGGTCGCCCCGTATACACTCTTCCTGTAATCATTGATCCCACAAAGAACCCCTCCGCTCCCCAGATCCTCTCCAACACCAACACGATCGCCGAATACCTCGAATCGACGTACCCTGCACGACCTGTCTTCCCCCCGGGATCCCGCGCGCTCCAAACACTCTACGTCCACTACATACAGGAAGTCTTCGTAAAGCCTCTCCTCCCAATCATGGTCCCCCTCAGCCATCAGCGCCTTCCGGAACGAATCCAATCGCATTTCCGAACGTCCGATGCTCCGAGCCCTCCTGGACAGTATCTCCCTCCTGGCCCACAGTGCGAGGTTGCTTGGACAGCGGTCAAAGAGCAGTTCGAGTTCCTCGCCAATGTGTTGGCTAAAAATACCGGGGACGGGGATGGGGTCGTTGCGATGGGTCGGGAGGTGTCTTACGCGGATTTCGCGGTCTGCTCGGTTCTGATCTGGATTGAGCGGATGGCGCCGAAAGATGGATGGTTGCGGGTAAGGAGTTGGAATAGTGGGAGATGGCTCCAACTGTGGGAGCGATGCCGTCCCTATATGGATGAGCACTAAAGTCCGGTCAATTTAATTCTTAATCACTTCAATAGAAGTACAGTAGCCAGTCTAGAATTACCCTATCGTTTTGTTGTATCTTCGCTGTTGTTTGTACTCTTAATTATACTCTTGTTTTCTTACAGTTACATGGCTTTCGTAGATAGATATTTCAATGCTAATGCCTGTGGTCTTGGAATGGGTTTCATGACATGTCGCTCCGCCTATCGTAGTCGAGAATGTCAAAGAATATAAACACTATGGAATTGCAGCAGTTAACATTTAGACCGCTTGCCACCGAAAAATGTACTTGTTTTTGTAGACCTATCTCCGACAGAGGGTCGGAACATTGTCATCATGTGCGATGTGTATGACTCTTCTTTACAGGCCCCGATCGCACCATCGAAGGTTCCGACAAATGTTACGAGTCACTACTCGGAACATCAGCGCGCCCAACGACGGGGCCGACTCGCAAAACGGAATATGTGAGGTGGACAAGGACATGAGATCGGCTACAGTAACTACATCGGTCATCTGGTACCACCCGCGGTACCGTTTCCTTTGCGATCGTTTAGTAATGCTGAGGGAAAGATGCGCGTCAGAATAAAGTTTCAGCGTTTGTTCAAGTTGCTATTTCTGCAAGTACTTATCCGAGACCGTCGCAGTCCGAATCCTGATTCAACGAGAAGCGAAGCGCCCGAAGATTGCGGTATCTTTCACTCTGAGCCAGCGTCTAAATAGTACAACTCAGAATTTACACCGAGAAGGAGGTACGCTGATCTGTCTTTCCCTTCGATTCACCTACCAGTCCGAGACGTACATCGGAACCTCGATGCTAATGTCCAAATGTAGCCAGTAGGAGCGGGCCACCACAGTAATACCAACCGATAATGACGTACACAGTTAGAAGCCCCAGGTCTCGATGTACGTATGAAATACCCTCATCGTCATCCATCATCATATTTCAACCTAAATGACCAAGGTAGGGTAGATTCCTGTCAGCGTCGAACTCGAAATAGACGGAAAAATCCGAAGTTTGCTGATACCATACACAGGCCAGGGAGCCGTAAGAATTGGACGCGGAACGCCCTTGAGATCAGAATATGCAATAGAACACGCATTGACTCTTGTTGACGCCGAAATGACGGTGTCTATATCACTTCGTGTCTCAAGGACCTGTCTTTGGTGGTGTATGCCGAGTGGGAGTGTACCACCGTCAGCGCTGTAACGGGGATCTTGGCTGACTTTTTGATAGCGATCCTAGGGAGAAATGACTTAGTTCAAAGTCATAAGCGCTGAATATTCAGAAATAGGTATAAAACGATACGAAACATAGATTCTTGTCATAGAGGTGTTCCATGTCTAGACGTCCTTCGAGTCCTCCAGCTATCACGCTGTACGACGTTCCAGGACAGAATGCCCAGCCTTGGGCACCGAACATATGGCGAATACGGTACGTGCGCTATCGCGCTTCCTGGTCTCCTCTCTGTCTGAACCGACCTTGGCAGTTTCATTTTGAACTACAAACACCTCAGATACCGCACTGTCTGGGTTGAATTTCAGAACATAGAGATCACTCTGCGATCTATCGGAGCGCCTCCGAGTTCCCAGAGAAGCGACGGGCGACCAGTCTATACCCTACCGGTCATAGTAGACCCTACGCGGAATCCATCCGCGCCCCAGGTCCTGTCCAACCCGAATATCATTGCCGAGTACCTCGAATCTTGCTATCCAGCGCGTCCAGTCTTTCCCGAGGGATCGCGCGCGCTTCAAACACTGTTTGTGAACTACATCCAGGAGGTTTTCGTTAAACCCCTTCTGCCAATTATGGTTCCTCTAAGCCATCAGCAGCTCCCGGAGCGCAGCCAGACGAACGTGCATATGAGCCAACCCCTGCCCCCGGGACCGCAGCGGGAGCATGCGTGGATGCTGGTCAAAGAGCAGTTTGATTTCCTTGCTAAGATTTTGGATAAGAATGCAGGTGATGGTGATGGGGTGGTGGCGATGGGGTATCAGGTTTCGTACGCAGATTTTGCGCTTTGTTCCGTGTTGCTATGGATAGAGAGCATGGCCGCTCAGGATGGGTGGGCGAGAGTCAGGCAGTGGAATGGTGGGAGGTGGGTCAGGCTGAGGGAGCGGTGCAGGGAATATATGGATGTGTGTTAATTTCTTTTGGGTTAATTTTTTTTTGAATGCGTAGAAGATTAGACCTATGGTAGCATTTAGACTTTAGTAATATTCGCTTCTAGTCCGTTATCCTGCTCACTATGAAAATACTTGCTTTATATGTGAAGAGGCGAGACTGCTCATCTATATCAAATATCTTATTATAGTGCTTTTTAGAGCCATTGAAATGGAACTCAGTAAAGCTGAGCGTAACATTTTAAAACTTTATTGGGAGATCGAAACCAATATCAGGCGAGACATACCTGAATGTGTGCTTGTCCCTCTGCAAGATCGGAGTTGAAGTTTGAATTGACTTTTGAATGAAGTAGATGCTTGCGGTGTGGGAGGAATATTTGAAGCCGGCCTCCGGGCCGCGCTCTTGCATTGTCAACTCGTGCCTTCCTTGCCTCCTTTCTTTCCTTTCTGCCAGCGGGCACCTAGTAAGGAGTACTACCACTTGGAATTGGAAGGCCTGCGAGAGTGCACACTTGGCACCCCTGCTGATTAACTGCGTGCAAACTTGGGGGGGAATTTACTTCTGATTCTTCAAAGTTTACCATGAGATTTTCTGTGGTTCTAGACAAAGCTCGTCATCAATCGATCCACTCTCATTCAGAGGACTCTTCGTCGGCTGTGCATAACTTCGAAAGTGCCTCTTGCGATTCTGTGTCGAAAACGAGGAGTAATGACTGTTCACTTGGATTCTGCGAGTGTATGTTTCGGTCTCGTCGATCTTGGAGTGACACGCGCATGACACAAAAATTTGGACTCGCAGTTCAGAGGAGGGGAAAATACGCTCTCTGCGATAAATCCGGACTTTTCGTTCAAGGAATCGAAGGTAAATCTTGATGCTGAGGCCCTTCAACGAGAAGGCGCAGTAAGAAGACGGCCATCTGATCCCGTAGATGCTTAACCCAACTGCCTCCATCATCAATCTCGGTCGGTCAAGCTACATATACATCATGGGAGGTTTCTTGTTTTCAATCTCGGAAAGAAATAGAATTCTTGACTTTTAGATTTTTGGAGAGGCAGTCGAGCTAAGCCCTGTAGCATGTCAGTCAGAAATTGAGTTCCCCTTTCTAGAGCTGTCTATGATCGATTTAGGAATCTTCAAGTGAGACATAAATCTGAGGAAGGAACATTAACGAATTTCTTGAAGAGTCGGGTACTCCTTGTGAGTTTCCACAGCTTGATTTAAAAGCGTAGGTGCGTTCATGGATTGCCATCCTTTTATTGTCATCCAAGACGAAGGCCTTCAGAGCAATCTCCACCTTTCTTATGCTTCTTTCCCTGATCTTCTTCAGTGTCGATGGTCACCCTGGCAGGCTTCCCCGCCAACAAGACGTCCGAACGACATCTATATTGGATATTACGGGCCTTCTTGCGTCCATCAATATTTCAGCTAAAGATCGCGAACAGACCCCGCGGCCCAACCAGAACTACCAACTGCTCTAGAAGCTCAAGCAGCAGCAGCCACCGTTGGTTTGAACTTGACCTACATCCAGGTAGATATCTTGTCAGTCAATTCAAGTTGTCGTTCCTGTCCTTTCAACTGACCGAAAATACAGAGTGGGAATGAAGAAGAAGAAGGAGCTACTCTTCTTTTTCGGTATTCAAAACGCGACTTTTGAACGTCACTACGCAGCCTCTAACATCTGTCAACGTCGCTTTTTCCCATTCAGGGCTCTCTGTACCGGGCATTCAGGATGATCTAGGTGATCAGTTCTATACTATGGGACAGGAAGCGGATGCGGCCAACATCGGTGATCCTGGAACTGGCAACTGGGTACAGTCATTCGCCGGAACTTCTGTTCATGGCGTTTTCCTTCTTGTGTCGGACACCTTTGATAACATGCATGAGACCTATCAAAGATCTTGTCGCATTTATGCGATTCTATTGGCGAGCTGCATCGCGTTCAAGGTGCAGCTCGCCCTGGATCAGAGGACGGTCACGAACGTAAGTCATCCATTTATAGATTCAGGATGATCGTTGATATGGATGCATACTCAGATTTCGGGTTCATGGACGGAATCAGTCAGCCTGCCGTCAGGGGCTTCATAATCATCACCCTTATTGGGTCAGTTTGCCGTCGATGCGGGAGCGATTTTGCTGGCTGAGGAAGGGGATAACACTACTCGTCCGTCCTGGGCTAGAGGTGGTTCGTTCCTTGTCTTCTGTCAGTTGGAACAGCTCGTGCCAGAGTTTCACAAGTTATTGTTGGACAATCCGATTTCTGTGCTTGGTATCAACATTCCTGAGGAGGGATCCGCCTTGATAGGAGCTCGTGTTGTCGGACGGAAAGTATATGTTGTTGTTCATCGAAGATATCCGTCCGAAGACTGATCTATGAGTACAAGGAGCTCCCATGGATCTTGCACCATTGTTCGACCACCCAACGCTGGCTGAGGAACAACAACTTCACCTACCACCAAGACGGTCAAAATAGTACCGATCAGACTGGGTGTCCCTTTGCTGCCCATGCCAGGAAGACACAGATAAATGATATATGTTTATTTTTACGCATGCCACGAACTCGCAAGATATAATGGTGCGTGTCTCGATCTCGACGGCCATCGTATGCCGAAATCTTCCGCTGATGATTATCAGTCTGCAGTGAGTTCTCTGTCAGTTTTCTACTCATGACATGAGAATAGTATTAATTTTATTCCCACTAACGAAGGCAATGTTCATGGTACATCCATCTATACATCAATTGGTCTCCGTTGAATGTGACGGAAGATATTTGGGACCACCTGAATCTCCGACTTCGTTGGTATCGATTGATGCTCACACGGACTGTCGATATTTAAATGGTTGGTATCATCTGAAGTATGATGTGTTCTGTCAAACGCCGCTTTCTACGGCCCTGGACGCATGTTGGGGGCCTTCCCTGAGTTTGAGCACTCTACTTACTTCGAAGCTACGAACGGTCCTGCGATCCTAGGACTCGTATTAGGAGGAGGTTATTTATAAGAGCTCGTGACTTTTCGATCACTGCAGCATTGGTGCTTGACGTTTTTTTTCCCAGTCCAAGATGATTGTCAGTGCTTCCTGTATCCAAAGGCTCCGTGTCCTTGCGAGATAAGTATAAGGGACCTGTACAAGAACGTAACCTTCTCTAGTACGGAATTACAACCCCTCTCTAACACGATGCCTTACTACGGTCCCGATGAACCGTACAAAACCATCATGCTCGAGCGCTACTTCCTGGCTGGAGATGTCGTTGTTGGATTAGGCTTCGGTAGAGGACTATTTTTTCGTCGTTTCCTCCACAATACTGATGATAATAACCCAACCCCCAGGAATCCAAACTGTGCTCTATGTATCCTGCGCAACGTACCTTTGGAAGCGCCGAAAGCAAAATCCAATCGCTCTCTTCCTACTCGCATACATCACGTTGCTTTTATCGATTGAGGCTATCTTTGTCGGGGTTCAGGCCAATACGGTGCAAATGATATACATCGACAACCGCAACTACCCAGGGGGTCCATGGCAATTCTTCCTCGACACTCAGAACCTAGCTGTGAACGTCATATTCTACGCAACACTGTTTGTTATGACCTTTTTGTCCGACATACTAGTGGTGGGTTCAACACGGTCTCCTGATCTCTAACGATGTTATTTACCCCTGACCTAGCTGTGGCGATGTTGGGTTATCTGGACGGCATCCGGTCAGATCGTGGCATATGTTATAACCGCCTTTCCTGCTATAACACTCTTGGCTTCCTTTGGTGCGTCTTTTTATTATCAAAATATCGCATCTGCATTCATCTATTGCCGCACAGTAATGGGAACGTTGTGGACACTTCAGTCCAGCCAGCCCGGGCTCTCCTTTTACAGTGCCTTGCCTCTTGCCTACGGGACATCATATTATTCGATATCTCTCGGCTTGAACATCATTCTCACCATTCTCATTATTCTACGACTCTACATGTATCGCCGTAGACTCCTTACGAGTCTTCCCCCCGAGCATGCCCATCATTACGTCTCACTCGCTACCATCATCATCGAGTCTGCTGCACTCTACTCAATTTTCGCTATTTTGTTCCTAGTCACCTACGCCGTGGGGCACCCATCTAATCAAATATTCCTGGGTGTCGCTTCATCGACCCAGGTGTGTTTTACCATTCATCTAGAATAATGATTGGTTGCTGATGCTCAGTATCCTTTTGTAAAAGCAAATTTCAGGTTACCTTATCATATACCGTTTGGCGGAAGGTCGAGCCTGGAAGAAGAGCACTCTCAATACGCTACCCTTGACGTCTATGAACTTTGGCAGTCCACCTGTCTGCGCAGAAAGCGGCACTGCGACACATCTAGGAACCATTCAGTTACACACTCTACCCGCTAACAACGGAGCGAAAGAGGAAGACAAGTCAACTGACGAAGATGTTTGATGGGATGATTAGATTTACAGTCACGGTTTCTCACAAGTATATGCGCTTTGATCCTGTGTTTTCCACATGTAACCTGGTCTCGAGTAATATCTATACCCCTTGCTTTATCACAGAGTCTGCCAGGGTGAACGAGAAAAATCTACATGGTACACTTTATCGTTGCCTTTATCATCTGTACGCCTCGATAACAGACATAGGAGTTTTGTACTCTCCAACAGGGGTATATGGATGATCAAACCTACCTATTGGTCAATGGCGTCCACCACAATAAGCTACTGTACCGAACTTACCCGAACGCAGCAGGTCCGCCGCTCTTGAGTCCTCTCTCGCTTTGCCAGAGTGGCGATCCCGCCATGACTATCACAGTTACCCTCAAACCGTAAGAATCTGAAAAAGGATATTAATAAACAGTGTTCGGATCGCCGGACCGTGACCTACACATCTGTGTGCCCAAGTGGGAGCCGCTCTGAGAGTCTAACACGTTGATGAGGTCCGGTACAATAGCAGCAACCTATTGGTTTATTTAATCGGAAATGGAATAAGTGAAGCATCAAATCAACGTACGCTGCGGCCGCCATCAGGCTTCTCAATATAGGCGCACACGTTCTCGTTCTGGAACGGGATAATCATATAGTCATCAGGGCCATAGTCCATATCCAACCTGCTGGCGGAACTGTCTTCTAGTTCATCTTCGCGCAGTCGCGCAATCTTCACTTCTCCCCAAGTGAAACCTGCCCGAACTTCCTGCAACAGCTCATGAGTGCTTTGAACACGGAAATAGGTAAGGATGCAAACCCGAGAAACGTCGACAATCTTTCCAATAAACACAAGCTTGCCGTTCTGTAGCTTCAAAATCTCATCTGGAACACTCTTCAAATCACTGATGAAGCCGGACAATAAGTATCAGGTCTGACAATGACTTTATGACATACCTTTTCTGTCGGCACATGGCAATAGCACGACCGATACCCCACGCTTGGCTCAGAGTTCGACGAACACCATAGTCTCTGGCTTCTGTTACGGTCATTGGCGCAGGGATGAGTGCGGCAGATGAGCCCATCTCCGTTGTTACAACTCTCATGAATGATTCTACTGCATAATTGTCCTTTGCACGGCTCATGATCTACGAGCCTGTTAGGCTAGGCCATAAATGTACAGATTAACATACCACGACATTTCCGTCTCCATCGTGTAAGGCGCAGGGAGTAAGACTATTTCATTTTCGTCCATAAGGACATGCTGAGAATCAGTCTGCAAGGTGCTCACGCATTTGGTAAACCGTATACAGCTGTTATCAAAAGCAGTCAGTCTCTCGGCCAGCTGTGGTGTACAACTGTACACACAGGGAATGGTTTGGTGGAGATTAGGATAGGCTAAATATACGTGAGCTTAAGTGAGTCTGGGTCAGTTGTACAACGTACCACGACCCATCAGATCACCATCCAAGGCAGGGACATTATAGTAGCTGTAGAATGGTTACTTTACGCCAAGGGAATATAATAATATCTAACGCACTGAGACAAGATCAATGACTGCATTCCGTTACCACCCCCGATTTCATCGCTACAGTTTGGAACATCTGTGAACAATGAAAGACGACAAAAAACGGATATCGCCCTTACCACAACGTGGCGACATACTCCGTAATACCACAGTGACGGGCTAACTCCTTGCCGGCCGTCAAGATTTGCTTCGCATCCTCCAGTCTCTCAGAGCCAACGGATGGAGAGCCCATCATACCGCCCCGAACTACATATGCTTCATCCGGGAGAGATGAATGGTCGACCACCCTGATACAACCACCATCATGAAGAATTTCTCTAGCAATGAGATACGAAGGATAAGGTGATCCGCCTCCTCCCTGTGGTGTAGAATCAATTAATATCTCAGGAAAAGGTAGAGGATATTTGTTAACAAACAGTTCCGAGCACTCCGCATCCTTCCATTATGAAGACTGCAAGAAACAAATATGTGAATGAACGGCGGGAATAAGAAGGGACTGGACCACACGCACAGAGATCTGTCTCAGTAACAATCCATTCATCGCCAACGATGGTGGGTCTGTACGTCTCGTAATCTATCCTTTCGACGATCTCCGCACTCTCTGCAAGAACTTTTTGTACAGCCTCGACCTCGTTATCTTCGGGTAGGTCCTGATGATCTTCTGATTTACTCGGAACAACTTTGCTTTCTTTCGGCGTCCCAAGCTCTCCAATAGCCCTAACAATGATCCTCGTAGCCTGATTGGTGACATACTATAAGAAAGTCGTCATTAACAACACATGCTAACGCCTAGGCAGTGAAATTCACCTGTACAGGCAGCACATTGACTTCTGCGATCCTGGTCGTCTGTGGATCCGCGCCAGCTTCCACTGCTTTAGCCATAGCCTCTACCTTTATCCGTTCGAGCGTATCGGGCAGACTCTTGCCCTCCAGAATTTCGATGGTGTCGACTTCCCCCGATACATTCGCAATGGCAGCCCCAACGGCATTAGCGACGCTGTGAAAGGGAGGGAGGCTGGATAAAGATATATCATTGTCATAGGGTAAAGATGAACTCTATACTTACATGATCTCTTTGACTCCAGTGAGAGTAGGGGGTGCAATAACAGATCCTCCACCGACAAGAAGCAGTGGGCAATCTTCTGGACTCGTCTTCATGCGGTCAATGACACCCTAAAGTGAGATAATGAGAGGTCTGCACAACTGAAAGGGTCCAGACCCACCTCGAGTAGCCTTTTCACAGCATACTGGGCTTTCGCCACCACATCATCACTTACTGTATACACCAGGGACGCGTCACCGATATCCTTCTCTCCGGCACAGACAGCAACGTCAGTCGCAGTCAGAATGTTGCCACCAAACACTTTCGCATCTCGAGTCAACTTTCACGGACGTGTCAGTCTGGAATGAGGAAAAAAGCATCGGTCCCACATAATGACCAACGGAATCCGGGCCTACAGTAACCTTGGTATCTTCAGTGTGAACCCTAGAGCCGCCCCCGAGACCGATGGAGCTGACGTCTGGCATGGAGAAGCTTTGCAAAGAGGTCAGTAAACGTTAGGTCAATGGCCTCCGCAATTACTCACTTGGTACGAACACCTCCCACTGGAAAGAAATTGAGGATATGAGGGACTGATGGAGCAAGCGACGCACCTTCGATGAACGCGGCGGCTTGCCGAGGAAACCCACTTGGCAACAACATACCCACATCTGTGGTCGTTCCGCCTACATCCACGACGAGCATACTCTTTCCAGTTCCGTCTTTTCTCTTTAGATCGATCCCAGCCAAATACGAAGCGCCTCGCATGGAATTAGTGGCTCCAGAAGAAAATGTGCGGATAGGCAGCTGTGCAGCATCAGCAGCCGTCGTCAGTGTGCCATCGTTCTGAATTACAATGATGAGAAGCCGAGCGTTATCCGGACAAACAACCGACCTGGGTGATGTAAAGAGGACACGTTAACCCGAGCCTCTTCATGGCCCGCTCAAATCCTCGTATGGTATGCTGTGCAAAAGTGGTGATCGACGCGTTCAGGATAGATGCATTTTCGCGTTCCAGGAAGCCGACTTGTCCAACTGTGATAACAATTATCAGTGGTGGGTTGTTGAACTGGTGCAGGAGAACACACCATCACGAGAACATATAATGTTGACGTCTAGACCAAGTTCTCTAGCAAGTATGTCTCGGACCTTGTACTCATTGATACCTGAAACGTCCAATGGAGAAACTGATACAGCTTGAGCAGGGGTCAGAGAAAACCGAAACTAAAGACGTACACACTCCGATAACGACGACATTTTTCAGGCTCTTGGATTTGATCTGAACCGCTTGTTCTACAACCTCAGTTTCTATAATATCATTGATTCGACGGCCATCTCTGAGATCCCGATATAAGCCATGTGTAAATGTAAATGCGGCAAAGATACGCCTTACATTTGAAGACCACCGGCAATTATCGCGTAGTGCCCATTCATGAGCTTCTTCAAATTCTCCGGGAAATCAACGAACTGTGCAAATATCAGAATGAAAGGCAGAGGGAAGCCTATCATGCAATCGGACGAACAGGAGGGACTTCGGCGGTGTAAGGAGCAGCAAGCCGAATGATTGCCACCTTCTGCAGCCTCCTTGCATCCGATTGCACGACAGCATTGATAAAGTGCTACTCAAAAGATGTGAACAAGAATCCACAGGGCAGCAGGTTGGCTTACCGTCGTCCCAATGGTCAGACTGAGCACCTTCCCATCGCGAGGGTCGACATTCGCATCAGTCAGGACGTTCCTCACTGCAGCCTCGATACCGTCCGTAACATCAACAGTCGTCTTATGCTTGAAAGACGCTACGATGCCGCGTGTTTCCGGGTCGTGAGTCTTGGTGAGGTCGACAATGACACCGTCCGTATTCGTTCCTGCTCCCTATCGTCGGTCCATTTCAGGTATAAAGTGTATCGTTGCGCACCTCCAACGTCGACGCCAATTCTGTACATGATAACACAGAGGAGAGATAGCTCGTGGTCTCCATTTACCTAAGCGTGAAGCCAAGCGCCTGTTGCCGGCTGCCGCTCCTTTTGAATGGGATTTGTCCGGAGGTGTTGGCGTTGGATTATCGCTCTTCAAGTTCGACAGGAATGGATTGGAAAGCAAATGATAGAGGAGGAAACAGGTACCTTATGTTTTCACTTTCGTGAGGTCGTGGTGGAAGGAAAAGAACATGTTTTTAGCGGCTGTGCTACTTTGCCGGCGGCTAGGTAAGAACGGATAGCGCGGTCCGGGAGTTGATGTCGTTTCTTTGTAACCTCCTCAGATGTGCACATTGTCAGGAATATTCGCAACTAATACAACTTACATTTTTAGGATATTCTAGGGACTCTGGAGAATCAGGATTCAAGTGAAGGAAGCCCAAAAAGTAAATCTCTTCAGCAATTAGAGTAAGCACATAAATATCTGATTTCAGTTTTTTTGGAGAATGGTAGTTTATACTAATGATAGCATGCATGCTCAAAACTTAATTCTGTGCAGATGAAGTACTCAGATTCTCTTACATTACATTATTATGGTATTGTATCTGTGAAAACATTATCCATAAGCCATTATGTTCCAACATCAGAGAATCTACTCTCAGTCAACTACATCACTGTCAGTTATGTATTAGGCAGCAATGGTATTCAATATAGCAGAGATGGAAGGTGAGAAGAAATATTCCCTGCCCCATAATACAACAAAGTCTGACACAAAGATTAGCCAAAAACACATTCATTCACAAGTACACCCACTATGTTGCAATGTGGGCATGGGTCTGAATGTTTCCATCAATAGATGATGTGTCATACAGTGTCATAGGTATTAGCTGAGATGTTGAACATCAATAGAGGAGAGAGCAGAGAAAAATGTGCAAGCACACAATCTGAATAAAGGACATGAAAATAATAATTACAACAGCAAGTAGATAGATGAAGTGAAGGTGAAAAATAGCAAAGCAAAACTTTAGAGGAAGTGGTAAGAATATAACTGAATTGATTCCAGGCAAGTGCCATGTCTGAAAGTGACAGCTTCCAGGCTGGTCTTTTGTTTGAACCACTACCAACATCCAGTGTTTGATTCTCTCCTCATGCAATATCCAGTCTTCCAACTTGCCATGTCACATCAAATATAGAGAAACCATGTCTCCAAATCTCAGAATTAAACTCTCTCTCATTTGTGAGACTTTCACAATCAGACTTGTTGGGATAGCAATCCTGAGCAAATATGAGAATGTACTCAAAGATATGATGCCAATCAGCAGCAGCTGACTTGGATTGTGATCTGGACTTATTTAGTATTTCATAGAAAGATCTTGAAGAAGTACAAAATGTATTTAAGTAGTATGTCTCTCTCTCAAGAGATTAATCTAATCCTCTGTACATTACTCTGCTCTCTACTTACAACAAGACTGAAGTAGTCTGGTCAATTATTTCTTTTTGCATTCTCACATATTTTAAGTACTGAACACTATAAACCTCAATGCTGCCAATGTTCAGACTAAATCTTGTATATCAGTGAGCAATGTTAAAAGCTGTTGAGTAGAAATGGATGTAATATCAGATATATTCAAAAACATATTGGGAACATATTTAATCATCAAGCAAGATAGATAGTAAGGACTTTTATAGCAATGCTCTGAGACACTAATGTCTCTTTGTCCATCTTAGACATGTTAAATATTGACAACTTCTTTAGTCTCAATCTGGCAGTCTCCACCTGATGACCCAATAATGAGCCTCATGATATGGTGCCTAATAATGTGTATGAGCCATCTGTTACAATTTTTCTATATCTTTTTTCTTTTTCTTATCTTATCAGGGCATCTATCTTATCCTGGGTGCTTTCTCAGAAGGGCATGGAAAGATTAAGTAATCACAACAGATAGAGCATCATTGTATTTGGTTGCTTCACACATAGACAACTCTCCATTGTTCCATCTCTGACAACCAGGCTGCATCAGTAACATTGCACAGAACAGTACAATAGGCAGTAGCTATATTTATTACAAGCAGAACAGTATATAAGTAGAATAGCTCTTGCTGTAGTAGCCCAGCTTTGAGCTATAAGTTTATCTCATATTATCCTTTCTTGAGCCTTGCTTGTCTTTGGCCTTGAAAGCACTTCATATACTAGAACACATTAAAGTGGACTCTAGTGTGACTGTATGAATGTGATACAGCACTAGTTTATTATGTGTTCAGGTCATGTGCCAGCTAGGTCTAACACCATCTGGTATTAGATATTAATGAGAAGCAATGATCACAAATACATATTCCATTCCAGTATTGTCCTTGAGAACAACTTCTTTCTGGTGCTCCTACTCTTGCAGGTCTGCCTCAGACAATCCTCAGACAATGGCTGATTCAATAATATGTTCATAGTATGAATTGGTATCATACTTATTGAGGGAATTAAATGAAAGACCTCTTGTTGGAAGCTTCTCAGTCATGATCTGCTTTTATAATGATCACCAAATTTTGTTTTCATCATCAGATTCAGGATACAGAAAAAGCAAATCTCTCTGAGACTAATAGCTCATCACACCCATCAGTGCTGTCCATACATCTTGCTCAGACTGCCTTCCATAGTATGCTGGTATGAAATCTGCAAGCAGAAGGTATGCCATCCCTGCAATTTTATCCACTAGATTTATTGACATCCACTTCTGCATCTCTGACAGCACATTATATGCATCACATCCAATCTGCTTCTCCTGCCAGTATATCATGTTCTCACAGCAACAGAAGACTCTTTGACTGTATGGACAAAAATCACTAGAGTCAATGTTCTGTTTCTTATGCTGGTGGGCAATTTATTTTGACTCCAGGATGTCACTTTTGGCAAAGTCATATTAAAGAGAGTGAAAGTATATTCCTGTTCATAATAGACATTGGTATATTTATCTCTTTTTGATCTATAGATACTGATTCCTCTGACCTGTGGATTATTTTAAATGCCTGAATATCTGGAAGTTGTGTGACAGATATCTTGCTATACTCTCAAATAAGCTTTTCATTGACAGATCTTGAAGCCCAGCTGTTTTATAGCAATTCACAGACAGAAACCTATGCTTTTGGCTCTATAGAACAAGATACAGTCTCACTGGTAGTATTGTGTCTCAGAGGCCAATGTTTTGCCTCAAAAATGTTATAAATATGAGTGCACTCAATACAGGTGCAGCATGTATTTTTGGGCTTTGTTTTCCCTTCAACAGATATCTTCTTCTCTGCTCAATATTTCTTCCATTCCTAACTGTTTCTATACTGTTTCATCTGGTCAGATATATTCTTTAATGAGCATACATCACCTTTCCAGTGTCAAGATGTATTACCTGCTAGAAATTGCTAATGATGCTAAGAAAACTTTAGAATACACTCTCTTTCAGGCCTCAATGCCAGGCTTCCTGTGTTTTCTGCCTTCACAAACCATATTGGGCTCAAGCATCAGCAATTGAATCATTCTAATTCATACATGTCTATAGGCCCATTCATTGCTCAGCTCATAGCTATGACAGACTTAAATACTTTAAGATTCACTGTGATCTTGCAATGGAACACAATATGTTGAGAAGGTAATATTGGATGGCTAAGCATGTTGGAATCTATGAAAAGATTTGAGCAGTCCAGCATTTTAGCATGCTGAGTAAGGAAGGAATCAGAAAAATTGAAGGAATTTTAGAAACTACTAGAAAAGGAGTAGTCTAGCATAAATATGAGAAGTCAATAGGAAAACTCTTCAGGAGTTTGTAATCTAAAGACTAAAGGTTTTACAAGCATGTACTCTGGATACAGTCTAAATCTCAACAAAGCATCAGAGAGCTTCTCACTAGTATCAAGAATGAGATTACATGAGTTCCTATTCACTTATATTCCAATGAAAATGGTGGTCTGGCCAGGCCAACAGATGCTTCAAATGAGGTATGTTGAACCCAGACTTAGCTTCTATGATCACCACCCACATATCTATACCTAAAAACACCTTATTACCTGAGAACTCTTTATTGATACTGTATACCTTAATGCACTTGAATTGAATAACTCCTCTCTTGCTTCTTTAAATATCGTAGTCTCTGATCTTATTGACACTGTAATTGTATTGGGACATCATTCACATTTTCTTTGGCTTAAGCACACTCAAGAGAAACTCTCTGATATGTGGCTCTTCAGAGGTCATAGATGCAATCTACTCTCAGCTGGATGAGACAGAATTCTTATTGAGATTTGGACTGTATCCAGAGTATATGCTTGTAAGACCTTTAGTCTCTGAGGAGTTTCCCATCAACTTCTCATATTTATACTAGACTACTTCTTTTCTACAGTTGACTATCTCAAAATGCATAATATCAAAATATATAAATCTGACTTTGTATACAGATTGGGCTGGAACACAGTCAGAGAGCAGAAAAATAGGCTAGAAATGCATATTGCATAATGCATACAGTTTTAGTTAGGAATATGCATTGTCAGACACAAAATTTTAGTAAGCTGATGTGACATTGTATATGTATTAGAACAATGAAGAACATAATTTGTTTGTATAGACTATGACAAGCACAAAAAAAATTATTGTAAAGTGGTCCAGCCTATATCTGTATAAACATATCTCTCAAACCAATATAAAAACCACATGCTAAACCTAAGAATTCATATGAGCACACAAAACAGAAGGAGAAAGTTCCAACTTACACATCATCAGCTCAGCCTCTAAAGCAGACCTTCTGCCTACATCTCACAACAGGAGACTGGCTTGTAGTATTCAAACATGTTGACAATCATTCTTTCTATTGATATGCTGATATTGTGGCACATTTTGCAAACTGAAAAAAAGATACACTGCTCTTTACACAATCAACCCTTTTATAGAAACTGGCATCTCATATAAAAATTGAACAGCATGCAAATGAAAACTCTAATGTGCTGTCATCCAAAAAGTCTTATATTATCACCTGATCTGATATAGAGCATGC